TTATTATTATTATTGTGTAATATTTATTATTATTTACGATGACCATTTTAGACAGAACAAGGATTCGGGTGAGACGAGAGAGTTCGAGTAGTGAGGAGGAAGCAGACGACACTGCACAGCTGATCGGTGAGGATTTTATTATTTATATTGTTATCGTATTTATTACTATTATTATTGCTATTACTATTATGTTTATTAGTATTTATAATCATTATTGTTTATCGTATTATTTATTAATTGGATATTGCAGATGAAAGGTGTGAAGATGAGTCGCATAATTTCACGTTTAGACAAAAATTGATGATAGCAAAGGTAATATTATTGGAGGGGTGGTTGTTTGTTATTGTTTTTATTATTTATTAATGTCATTTATTGTTGATATTATTAATGTTGTTAGTGATTTGGTAGTATTTGTTGTGATTTCAGCCGTTGTTGAAGTTTATGGTGCCGTTGAGTGTGGTGTATTTTGCTGAGTATTTCATTAATCAGGGATTGGTATGGCATTTTTTATTTGTTTTATTTATTGTTGTTATTATTATTGTTATTATTATTATTATTATTCCATTTTTATTGTCACAGTTACGAGCTATTGTTACTTGCCGTATAGTTCATAATTGAATTGTGACGTTTGCATATTTTGTTGGGGAGCGAGCGGTGGTCATTTTGCCAAATTGGCGGTGTCACTTTGCCAATATTTCGATGGTGAAAACTGCGATCTGTCAGCGAGTTCGGTCGGGGAAAATTCTGAAATTCTATCGGGTGAAAAGGTGTTATGGGATTGGAGTGTTGATTTTTTGTTTGGAATGTTTTCGGAAAGTGAAATGTGTTTTTTAGGTGGAATTATTGGTGTTCGACTGCGATCACGGGTTTGCGCTGAGTAAATCGAGTCAGTATAGGTGGTATCAGGTGGGGTTTATTAGGCGCTTGTTTACTTCGGTGGAGGGGAGGTCGAACGCAAGCACGCTCGCGTACAACAACACGCGTACACGCTCACACCCTATGAACGGCGCTTTCACATAGACCGAGGCCACGCCCACTGCGCATGGTCTCATCCTAAGTGTAGTCTCAGCCTGAGCCCAAGCCTGAGCTGGCTTGCTAGCCTCTGTTGTAACATCGATCGATCTGAGGCTACGCTTAGATGAGGCTGAGGTTACGCTTGGGCTGAGGCCATGCGCGGTAGGTGTGGCCTCAGTTGTTATACGCGAGCGTGTTCGCGTGCGACCCCTCCCCCAAAGTAAACAAGTGCTCTAATATTATTACTATTATCGATATACTTATATTGTGATTGAACCGTGCTAGTAGCTGTGTGATTGCATCAGAATTCGCATATATTCTTACAACACAATTGATGCCGAGGTGGAATATACATTCGTTTTTGATATTTGTTGTTGGTGATTTGATATGTCAGAATAGAATGCATTAGATTCACAGTTCATAGTAATGGAACGCGGGGTGTGGAGGTGGGGAAGGGGAGCGGAGGGGAGGGATTCGCGAGATTTATGTGGCAGAAAATTTATGTGTTCCTTTCGAGTGTGTTTTATGTGATGGTTCAGGTATTGTATCAAATCGGGGTGTTCATATCGCGGTCTTCAATCGACTGCTTCGTGGTACCAATCGGGCTATTGCCCGTTCTGCCGCTTTTACAGGTGGGCAATTTTAGTCGTTTATGTGTTGTTGTTGTTGTGATTTTTTAATTGTTCTGGTTCTATTGCATTGTTAGTATTGTTATTTGGCACTTTTTTACTTTGGGAGATCGCACGCGAGCACGCTCGCGTACAACGGTACACACACACGCTCGCACACTATGAACGACGCTTTCACATGGACCGAGGCCACGNCGTAGTCTCAGTCTAAGCCTGAGCCTGAACTCGCTTGCTAGACCCCGTTGTGATGTGATGCTGCGCTTAGATGAGACTGAGATCACACTTATAGTTAGGCCGAGGCCATGCGGAGTAGGTGTGGCATCGTTTCTTATGCGCGAGCGTGCTCGCGTACGACCCCCAAAGTGAAAAAGTGCCTAGAAATGATGGTGATATTGGTGGAGAGGATTTGGTAGAAAATGCCAACGATATGAAATTGCAGTTGATGAACGCGACATTCTTCTTTATGGAGACGATACATAATTATATCAGTCATATTTGGTTGGTGTTTGTGTTGGTATTCTATGAGGGGTTGTTGGGAGGGTGTGCGTACGTGAACACGTTCAGTGCTATACACAGAACGGTGGGTTTTTTTTTTATTGTTTTTATTGTCTTTCGGAACTTTTTGGGCAATTTTTCATTTGACATTTGGAACAAAGCTTTTTTTATTTCGAGTGTTTTTTTTCGGAATTATTTTGTAGAATGATTTTTTTGCGGTGTATAT